ATATGATATAACAGCTCTATAAATATATTTTAAGCGTTAAAAAAAGGAAATGGATTGTTTGTAATGTAGGACACAGCCATTTCTTTATCTTATCCTAACTGCTTACCAAAATAAGTAAAAACAAATCCAAACATCAGGACTCACTTCCTGTAAGGGCTGGACTTTGATATGCGATATACAAACTGTTTGCACTTGGTCTGCTCAAAGACACACCATGATCTCAGGTTACTGCAGTGGCCACAAAGCCACACCTTCCCCACCAGCTTTCCTCCAAATTAATGTGTCTTTTCCTGTGTTTTCATCTTTATTTATTTTCTATCAAAATGGTTCTCTAAAACATTCAACATTAAACAAAAGGCTGTGAAAAGACAATTATTTCATTTATTTTACATCCTAAAACATGTATTACGCGTCTTCCCAGGCCATCTTCCCACTTTGAATGTCGTCACAGCTGCCATGGAAGGATATTTGTACTTTCCCAGCTTACAGGACCCCTTTGTTGCAGCTCTACCTCCGTTACAGTGCTTTATGGGGCAGCTCATAGGTGTGTGGATAGGCCCCACCCTGTCTTTAGTTAGGAGTAATGCTCTGTTCTGCTGCCCTGCCTGGACTTGTAGCCTTTTCACTTTTTTTACACACCTGCTCTTTTCGTGCCATGAGTGCCTGGGGATCCACAGTCTTTAAAGGGGATCAAGTGTCTGCTTATCCTTGCTAATCTGCCCTGAAAGCCTGAAAGCCTTGTGTACACTGTAACATAGTTAATGTTTAATGAAAAATACCTCCTTACATCCGAGTGCCGTTAAAAACTCTCAAGTTTGTTAAAGAAGTTTAACAAACTTGAGTTTTTTAGAGCTTTCACTGACTTTGCTTTGTAATTTGTCATACATTAAACCACGTCTCTGCTTCCACTGGGCTGAAATCCCATTTTCCTGGTAATCTATATTGAAGGAACAAGAGGTTCATTGTTGCCTCTCCACACCACATGAAGTTCAGGCCTGCGTTGCAACATAAAACTTTCTAAGCTGACCTCACTTGTGGTGTGATTTACAATCAATAATCATCAGAAAACAAGTGCAGATTTATGAAGGGATTAGAGTTTGTGTATTTCTGGGGCATCTTGTTTGGGAATGTTTTCCACATTTGTCGTTCCTGGCAAACGTGCAGGAATCCATGCGATCTCAGAGACGCCTGATCATTTTCTGTGTCCTTTCAGTGTTTTCCATCACCACGATGACGCCGTCCGGGAGCTCCCTCCTGACTCACCTGCTTCTTCAGCTCCCCCTCACCTTCTCTCTCCTCCACCCTCCTCCAGCCCACGTCCCCACGCTGGTCCCTCACGCTCCGACGCCTCTCGCCCGCTCCCGCTTCAGTGCTCACGCTCAGCTGGATTTCACAACTCACTGCAACACAAGTTGCTTCCACAGAGGAGAGCAGGAAGAGCAGCTCACGGAGAAACTGGCATTCGAGACCTTGTACGCCGACGGCTCGCGCACTCTCACCACGGTAGATGTGGAGGATGACGCAGAGTTCGGAGGAGCTCACCCTTCGCCCCGGAGAGTGAAGCCCAGGCGCGTGAGACGGCAGATCTATGGAGCGGATGGCCGCTTTAACATACAAGGTGACAACTTCCTGTTGGATTACCCCTTTTCCACAGCTGTGCGGATCTCCACCGGCTGCACCGGCGTTCTCGTGTCTCAGCGGCACGTCCTTACAGCTGCACACTGTGTGCATGATGGGAAGGATTATGTCAATGGGGCGCGAAGGCTCAGGGTGGGCTTCCTGATCCCTCCATCTATCAACGGCACAAAAACACACTTCACTTCTGCCAAGAAGCCTCTGGTCCACTGGGTGCGGGTGAGACGCACCCGTGTGCCAAAGGGCTGGATCCAGGGTCCTCAGGAGGTTAGCATGGAGTTCGATTATGCCCTGTTGGAGCTGCGTTGGCCTCACCGTCGTCCCTTCATGCGCCTCTCTGTGGCTCCGTCCTCTGACGATCTGGCAGGCCATCGCATCCACTTCTCCGGTTTCGACAGCGACAGGCCCGGGCAGCTCGTGTACAGGTTTTGTCCCGTGGAAGAAGAGTCCAATGACCTGATATATCAGCACTGCGATGCCCGACCTGGAGCCAGTGGCTCTGGCGTATACGGCCGAGTGTGGGACAACAACTTGGAGCGCTGGGAAAGGAAGGTTATCGGCATCTTCTCTGGACACCAGTGGCTGGAGATAGATGGCGAGAACCGGGATTACAATGTGGCCGTGCGCATCACTCCTTTAAAGTTCGCTCAGATCTGTTACTGGGTTCATGGAAACCGGCTAGACTGTGTCCAGGACTGAGAAAGACCAAAGGCAGGAGGTTTAAAGCAGAGCATGAAAAACACAATAAAGCTCAAACTGACTTAAAAAAAACACACAGGGTCAAATATCTGATCCATTTCAACACTGAGTTATTTCTCTCCTGTCTTTAATTTGCTCCCTGTAACCTCTGGGCCTATTAAATAAACCAGCCTGTGAGATCATCAGAACGGCATCTTTTAATATGTTTTCACTCGCAGTCAGATTAATAAGTCAGTGTTTCCACAGCATTAACAGAAGCCACTTTTAACAAGAGGGGGAAAAAACACTGTAACTCATGTGAGTGTCAGTAGCTGCACATTATTTTCCTACTGTGGATAAATGTAATCCACCAAGGCTGTATTTGCATCTTTCCTGCTCTGGCTTTGGGGACTTGGTTTTTGGTATCTTGAGAGCGGAGACCGTTTGCTGTTCTTGGTCCGGACTGGAAACACAGAGTTTTGACTTTATTTTATTTTTAAAAAAATGCTTGGTATATTTTAATAAACAGAGATTTATAACTGTGCGTGTCCATAGTCTTGACTCTGGTTCAGGAGTGGTGCTGTGCTGCCCTCCTGTGGTCATAATACCTGCTGCCGCTGTGGAGGAGTGATGATCCAGTTAGAAGAGTCTGCAGAACTGCAGAACAGAAGAGGCCGTGCCTCAAGCGGAGGCTCAAACCCGTCTGACGGGCTTTGCAAAATGAAGGCGGTGTGCATTTTGGACGGTTCTCATACCAAAGCACTCTATACTACAAACCACATTCACTCACACATTTATTTGTTTTAGTCTATGCTTTTAAGCACTTTCTAGCTATCTTTCTTTTGCACTGGGTTCAGTGTCTTACCCAGCGCTGGAGATCGAGCCACTCAACATGTGATCGGTAGGTTGACCAACTCTACTCCACTCTACAATGAACCATTAAAGACAGAAAATTATGGTTTTTAAAGTCAATAATCCATAAAAGTTGCTGTTTTTCTTTTTTTTTAATTGTGGGGCAGAGTTTAGGTAATGAGCTGCCAGTTATTATGGCAGCATTTCTTTGTAATGTGCAAAAACTGAGACGTCTTACTCTTATTAAGATATCTCAGGCTAGGTGGGTGTCAGTAGTTGACATTTAGATGTTCAGATGTGAACATTTTCAAAATCTATTTAAAATTTGTTACGCTTAAATAAAGACAAGCAATTTTTTTCATTTGTTTTTTTTTTTTAAGTGTTATTAAGAGATAGTTTCGCAGGCTGATCCTGATTAAGACAATTTAGGCTATATGTGGCCCAGGAACTAAAAAAAGATCGGCACTCCTTGTTTTAGGCTGAGAAATCCAACACAGGAGTGTCAACATGTGACCTGGATGGCTATGCAAACTAAAGACATTAGTGTTAAATTACATGATTTTATTGATTTCTTTTATGATCCGGCTCATTTTAAGGCAAACTGAACTGTCTACCTGGCTCAGAAACTGCAGTCCAAGTTCCAGGTTAGGTCACTGTAAAATGCAAATAAAAACAGAACGGTTAGCAAATCTCATAAAGCCATATTTTTTTTTACAATAAAAAGGCTAAATTGTGAAGATTTTTGAATATCTCATTATCTACAGTACATATTATCATCCACAGATTAAGAGAATCTGAAGATATCTGTGTGCACAAGGAACAAGGCTGAAAATCAATATTGCATGCCTGTGATGTTCGGGGACTGAGGCAGCGCTGCTTTAAAAACACCCACGATGGAAATCACTGCACAGGCTCAGGAGCACTTCCAGAAATCATTGTTTGTTAAAAAAGTTCACTGTTTAGTCCACAAATTCAGCTTAAAGCTCCATCATTGCATGAAGCAATGGAAGCATACATTGCTTCATCTTTGCATGATGGAGCTTCATTGAAAGCTTGCATATTTCAGCAAGACATTGCTAAATCACATACTGCTTCTATTACAACAGTATGGCTTCACAGCTGTAGAGTCCGGGTGCTGAACTGACCTGCAGCCCAGACTTGGGAGTGGCTGAAGCTCAGGAGGTAGAGCAGGTCATCTGTTAATTGGCAGGTTGCCATTTCGATAACTGGCTGCTCCAGTCTGCAAGATAACCCCAAGTTGCTCTCCTCATCCATCGGTGTGCAAATATTAGATAGAAAGCACTTATGGGTGTGTGTGGGTGAAAGACACAAGTTACATAAAGTGCTTTGAGTAGAAACGTGCTATGCAAGAACCGGTCATTCGACCACCAACGGGAAACATTTGGAGACTCCATGAGACAAAATAAATGAGAGGCTGATGATCAGCTGGAATCTTTCCTGTGTTCTTTTGTGAATAACTTTTGTGTTTAGGATTTGCAAATCATTGCATTATGTGTTTGTTTTTTCATTTTGATTTTACAGCATGCCCTCAGTGGGTTTATTTTGGTTTTCACAGACTCGTTTTGCTGGCAATATGTCAGTAAAGATTTTCAACATGAATATTTCATCAAGAAATATTGTTCAGTACATTAACTGAACATAGGACACTTTCATGCAAAATGATATAGATTTTCTTGGACTGGACATGCAGGTTGTGCTTTAAATACTGAATACTGGTCCTCCATGACCATGTAGCTACTAAAAATAATCTGTGTCACGCATCATCAAAAAGCCAAAACACTGCTGAGAGTAAACAAACTCAAGAGCAGTACGTGTCAGTAGTTTAGTGCTTTTTATTAGAGATAAGGAGACGATACAAAACATCCACCATTCAGTATTCAATCTAAACTCTGACCACTGGTCTTTCATATACACATCGCTCCCCATCAGACCTTCATAACACCAAAGTTTTTAAATTGAGGAAATCCTGGTTTTAACGAGTACAAGGAATGTCTGTTCACTACATCAAATGTCATGTTTTTTCTCACCCGGAACTGGAAATATAAAGGAATTGCTCAAGTTTTGGAACCTTTCAAAAACAAAAAAAGAACAATGGAATAACAAAACAAAGAAAAGAAATTATATATATTTAACCGTGTTCCCCCAGAGTGTTTTTATACAGCTCCTGTAATCAAATGAATTAGTTCATTACTACACCTACTCAACTATACACACTTACAAAACTTAACTTGTTTTTTTTGGCAAAAAAAAACAAAAAAACAAACAAAACAAAACAAAAAAACGTAGTTGGAACAATTATCTGTCAGGATTCAGTGGTTGGGAAACTAGAAGGTTTGCTGACCGTCTTTCTCTGCAGTCAGTCAAATGGAACCTGGAAAGAATGAAACCCTGTCCTTAAACATGAACTGTGTGTATTTAAGTTTTAATCATCGTCATCATTTTCCTTCTTCAGTTGTATCTTAATGTTTTCCTTTGTGTTTTGTTCATAATCTTTACGTTGCATGAACTGGAATGACAGTCTGATTCGTTGTTGTTTTATTTTTGTTGTTGTCGTTTTTTTTAAAACTGTCACTTGACCCCAAAAACCCACCCATGATATCCCTCCCCGAGAGTCCCACGAATTGATGCTGGTTCTGCTTTTGCCCTTCTCCACACCACACTGGAATGAACAGCTAAACCCGACAGATGTGTCTGAAAGGCCTCAATCGAAGCCGGAGAGGAGGGGGAGGGATATTTATAAAGGAGCTCCTTCCAGACTGACTACCGATGAGCCACCGAGCTTTTCTGCCAGAGTGTGCCGGTCTTTAAGGTCTTCAAAACCGTTCACCTGCCATTCGTGCTTAATACCTGCAAAACAGAGGGCAGAGTTATGCATCAAGGGGGAAAAAAAACTCAGCAGGTGAGCTCATTTGATGAATGTACACTGACAAACAAGTTTAACAGGAGAAAATATTTATTCACTCATCCTCCAAACAATGCCTGACATTTGGAAGCGTTTCAAATCCACTATATTTTAATACAAAATTACTTAAATAACAAACAAACAAACTAAACCTAAGGTGGACAGACACACAAAGTCCCAAATGAGCTCTTCTAGAACTCATGGTATCATATTATCCCAATACAGCAGTCGCCTCTCAGACTGCAGCCTTACTTGTGGTTCCTGAGTTTCTAAAAAGTAAAATGGGAGCCAGATTCTACGGCTATTAAGACTCCTCTCTCAGTTGGGTTCAGGGGACAAACACTCCTCTCTGCTCATAAGATCAAGCGTTAAACTTTCTTTTTGATGGTTAGAGCTGTATCAGCGGACCCTGAACCACTCTCACTTACACTGCTATGGACTCAGACTGCTGATTAACTTCCCATGATGCACTGAACCCTATTAGATGCCACTACAGCATGCCATTAATTCTTGTCTTTTCTCTCTCCTGTAGCTTGGCCCTGCTAGTTTCTCGTGTTTTCTGCTCTTTTCATTTTCTTCTTTCGTCTTCATGTCAACCATCACCAAGCATTTGCTCATAGGGCAGTGGTTCTTAAACATTTTATGGCTTGCAAAAAAACCCAAACAAAGCTCCTTCTTGTGTCACAAATCTTGTTTTTAATCTTAATAAAATACAGGGACCATGATGAGTTTAAAATCATATAAAAGCTGGGTGCGACACCATCCGCAAACTTATCGACCAAAAGAAACACTTCAAGTCATGTTTCACTTCATGATCGTCTCTGGCTGACTGCAGCCCAGCAGGGAGCAGCTCTTTATGGAAGTGCACTGTGAAAATGACCCTCTGTTCCCTCAATCTGAGACCTCAGTAAACACATCCCAGATGACTTTATAGACTTGAGCACTAATTTCATATGTTAATTAATAAAACATGCAACTTGTGATCATTATTAGAATCAGAAAGCTCGTTGGCTAATAAAATGCCAATCCTAAGTCTTGTGCAGTGCTGGGTTTCACCGTTATATCCACCCTCACTAAACACCACAATTGCAACAGCGTCTCTACTCACCAAAAATCTTATTTTCATCTTTAAGCTCACATGTGGCCACATTTAAAGGATCCACCCATCGCATCTATGAACAACAACATCCAATACATAATTTCCCTGTGGATTAATAAAGTATTGTGATACTGGTGACCGGGGGCTCGTCACTTATAATATTGACGAGCCCCAACTTATAACAGTTGTTATAAGTTGGGGCTAAAACAATTAACTCAAAGATGCATTCATCCTTTGTGAGCTGAGGGCGACAGCAGAGTCAGGTGATACCCTCTGTTGTGTTGTCTCGAGAGCGTTTACATAATTCAGGTTTGAGTGTGGTTCAAGATCAAGCGTGAATACTTGTTTCTGATGATTCTCTGATCACAACCAGACACTCACCTTCAAATTTCCTCTTGATGGCATCTTTTGAGCTGGCATAGATCATCTTACTCTTCAAGGGAGCGCTATCTGGAGCCCTGTGACGTAAGGAAAACAATTTAACTCTAATGTCAATTTAATGAAGCTCAAAAACGTTTAAATGTGTAATAACTGTTGCTTTCACCAGAAGATAAAGACGAGGTCCTCCTTCTTTGTTTCTTTGGTCTCGTAGGTGGCGTCATACAGAGCATAGCGGCAATCGTTTGGGGGCAGCATCTTCACAAAGTGCTGGTATGGGTCCTGCACGGTGGTTCCCAAGTCGCCCACGAGGATCTCTTTGCCGTCGTCCAGAACAATGTTCTTCAGGTCCTTGCTCAGGCAGAACAGGATGGCCTTCTTCCTCTTCTTCTTCTCGTCCTCGTTTGGCTGAGCCTTACGCACCTTCATGTCATTGAAGACCGTGATGACTTCATCTGTGACTTTCACACCGGAGGCCTAAGGATCGAACCATGTGTTAATACAGAGTCTCATATATCAAAATCACGACAGCTGCCCTAAAACAACTCTTGAAAATTCAAGTAATTCCCTAACATGCCTGAATAGCTTCAGTACAGTATATAACTCATAATTCACAAAATATGGAGCCACTAGTTTATTAAGTTCAAAAATTAAGAACAAAATGTTATTGATGTGAACTGACTAATGCTTCTACTCATCAACAAGTCTGCAAAAAATGCCTTTAACTTTTCAAATGTGAGTATTATCCACATAATAAAAGATCGATGCAGCCACTGATGTCATCCACTAGTTTATGAAGGTTTGTTATGAAGCCTTAAACTAAGCGTCTTTGCCATCACCATCTTTTGAAACCAGATGCGAAAAGCAAGAGGCGGATCTGACAAAGAAACAGGTTATCCAGGATATTACCTCATTAGGAAAGTTGTGATAACAATGTTTTACCAAACTAACTAATACTAAAAACTAAAAAGCCATTTCCTCTAAATTTGTTTTTCCATTTTGTTTAGTGTTCCAAGTTCATATACATCACTTGAGGTAGCTTTAATGTTTTTTTAAAGTATACTTTTTATTTCAATTGTTTACAATGAACTAAAAAAACTTTTTGATCATTCAGAACATAAACCAAACACTAGATTACACAAATGTGTTATTCAGGCTGGAAAAAGATCCAACCGAGAAAGGTTCCCAAACCTGTTTCCTCGACCATCACTGGAATCATTATTCATTTGTTTGTCTGACTCTGCACGAGTTTTTTCAAAAAACAATGCCATGAACATTTTGGCACGTAAAATACCCACATTATTTTTTATTATAATTGTGTCCTCCCTGATACAAACCAAGCAGAAATGGCTTTAGGTCTGCTGGAATTTCTTTTCTTCAAAAAAACCCTGTAATTTTTCAGCCCCTCTGCATTTACTATAAAAGGTGAGGGTATATATTTATAGTAACTATTTAACTTGGCAGGAGATGCGCAGGAACTGAATGTATTTTAAGCTGGAGTCAAACAAAAGGGTGGGTTTTTGTCACTTTTCTATAGTCACTGCTTCGTCAACGCGAGGCTGTGGTCTTCAACAGGCCACACGTGACAACTACAGTAAATACAGACATCGTTAGGCTGAAGAATGGCCTGAGAGGGTGGCATGTGACCATCACACAGAGAGAGAGAGAGAGAGAGAGAGCAGGAACATTCCCAGTGACTGATGAGAAGGCTTGAACGCACAAAAGATGTGGTGATTACCAGATGTGGGCTGGATAAAACAAATCTGAATATTTTCACGAGTTTCAAATAAATAAACACTGATGATTTTGTCATAAAAACACCATTTCCTTAATAATATATAACAAGGGAATAGTGAAAACAAAACGGCAAACTGTGGCCAGTCTAGAAGTCCAAAGTCCACACTGAACATAAAAAACCCTGTAAGTTCAGCTAACAGGTGTGTCTACACTTCTGTGACTATGACTGGACGAGCAGTTATAAAACATTACCCAGCTTCGGCCTTTCTCCACGCAACAGGCATCTCTGCTATAAAGATGACCACGTGGGTGAGGGTGTGGTCAGGATTTGAGTATTTCAGCGTCGCCCTTAATCATGAACAATGAAGCTTCTGTTGAAATGTATAATACAGGCTACCCAAGCTCACTGTCACAATCATGTCTTCTGACTCTGTTTAAGGCCCCTAACAGGAAAGGAAAAAACAGATCCCCCAAGCAATAGGAGAGAAAAAAAAAAAAAAAAGACAATGAAAAGGAAATAATGGGGCAGGAAACACGGAAAACTGGGGGAGCAACCCGGGGCAGACATTGTATGTTTGCTCAGGGCGTTAAAGGCCAGTAAGATAATGAGAATTCCAGAGAAATAATTAACCAGTGAGCAGCCCTACTTAATTAATAAAGTAAGACTGGTACTGCACCATTTCTCCGTCCCTTTGCAGTTTGGTCAAGTTCACACACTATTTTGCACATGAGAAAGCACAGTCATCTCACTGCATTCTTCCTCGAAGGAAGGGATAAGGACTACAACCACCAAACATGGCCTGCAACTGTTAAATAATAATAAAGAGAGATGGTACTAGTTTTTTTGGTTTGTTTTTTTTGAGGAACCGTCATGACTGCGCTCAGACCCAGCTCTAATCTTATCTAATGATAATCACTGACGCCAAGGTTCAACTGAATCAGTACAAAGGAGTCACAGTCCAAGTCTTCCTTATCAGGATTACAGGCCTCTCACCTTTATGCTGCAGGACAATTTCACTGGAAGACCACGGCAGGCTTATGTCTAGACTCTCGGTGTGATTTAGTGCACGTCTGTGAGGATAGCGAGGAACATGGCGATAGTACTTAGATAAACATTATTTTTCCCTTTGGGGGCGGTGGGGGAAAACTATTCCTGCTTTTCTAGTGTTTCACATAGGAATGAATGAATGAATGAATAGACATCTATTTATTTTCCCCCCGACCCGCGTGAGTAAACAGCTGTATGAATTAGATGCGCAACGCAAAATAAAAGATGCGCAGCGCCGAACGTGAAGACACAGCAGCCCCGCTAGCTTCTAGTAAGCGGCCCCTAACGCTGCCAAATTGGTGTTTCATAACGGTAATAATCCGGTCAAAGATGCGGTTCCTCCCTGAAGAAACGGAGTAAAGCTACTATTTAGCTTTACTATATCGCAGTTGCGATAGGTCCAATCTAACTGCTGAGACATAATAAAAAAAAATACAGCCCCAAACAAAATGGTCTTTGCACCAAATTCAGGGTGGGGCCATGAATGCAGCACACGCACATGTGAACGCTAGCTTGCTATATAAGGCAAAACTGCTTTAAAAAGGACCGGTCGTCTGTCAAATCGCACATTTATTCTCACGGCGTTCCTCCACCACAATCATGCGGTTTGTGCTTTTGCCCTCACTGTGGGATAAAATAATAATAGAAATAATAATAATGCTTTACGAATGCACCTGCACTTAAAACAGCGTCAGTATGGGAGCCGGGTACAGACAAAGAAGAAAATTTCAGCTAGCGCCATAATGGGTGTCATTTCTGGCTGCACTGTAACGCAGCTACTCCGGCTAACAATACAGCTAGCCGGGCAGCCCCGGAGGCACGGGTGCTGCTGCACCTGCCAGCGCCGCAGCTCTGTGATGCGGGAACACGGGCGAGCACAGGTGAAATAACTGAAACATGATGCAGTGGAAACACCGGAGCAGTGTCATGGCAACGGTGCGGACGTTAACTCAGACAGGGGCCCCTCGATAAAGCGCCTTTTTGTCGGCGAAACACTTGGGAGATGAACGAAATGGCGCCAGTGGCTTTTACTTAAAAAAAATCGTTAGTGATTAACCTAGTCTGTTATCTCCATCGTGTGAAAATTGCCGCTCGGAAAGTTCGCTGAATGCGAACACTGAAAGACCACTCTGCGTTACGGCAGTATTAGCCATCCAGTTTCCTAGTCAGCTCCCCAGCCTAGCCAAGCGCTAGCACAGGCTCCTGCGGCATACAGCCGGCTCGAGTGACGCTAAAACACTTACAAATTAAACCCAGTTAAAACTCCCCGCGGGCTTAAACTGAGTCATTATTAGGCAGAGAAAACATCGAGAATGCATAAATAATACAAAAGTACGAAAAGGCTGTGTTAAACCTACCATAGCTGTAGCTCTGGATTCGTCTGCGTCTGGTAGAAATTGAAAGGGCGATTGAATCGTCGCTCTTGCTCACAAACACTGGATGCGAAGCGTGAACGCGCCCCTAAGCGCGGCCCCGGCTAGACCAAAGTGCACGAGCGGGAGTGAATGTCTGTTAACCGCGGTAGTCCGGCTGTTGTGCCTACTGGTCATTAACAAACATGACGATAACACAGAGAGGGCCTCGAATCTAATCCACGCAAAATGAAACCAGGCACTAAGTGGCGCCTGGTTTAATTTTCAACTCATTTTTAAATATATAACATTTTTAAATATATAATATGCATCGTTTCACAATTTTCCCATTGCCATCTGATATATGTATATTTCATTAGGGTGGTGGCGGCAAGTGTACGTGAACAAATCAAACATACCAAACCGATAACAGAGTGCATTATGGGAATATGTGTTTTTCTTAAAATGTGGAAAAACCTACAAATCTCGGCAAGTGAGACCTATTTAACCTTCAGTGGCACTTAATGATGAGTAAAAGTAGCACGACTGCAGCGTTTATTCCAGTTGCCATTTTTAACTGCCCTTTAAAAGCCGTAATAATTATTACATAAACCGCGTGAGGGGTGTTTGATAGTTGAGACCAGTCTGTCGCTGTTTAATGACCGACATTCATCTCCCAGCCGGACACGGAGCGGGTTTCCAGAGTGGGAGGAAAATCTTCATCATCCATCCTCTCTCCTCTCCTCTCCCCTGCCCTCCCCTCCTTGCGGTTTTTGTCGAACTCACTTCCAAATATGGAAGCGAACGGTGAGCGGCGGCGGCGGTTAGTGCACGCGCCTCGCTCACAGTTTTAGGGAGGGGCCAGGCTGCGACGCTCATCACCATATAAGGAAACAAGGGACCCGAAATTCGCTGTAGCGGAGTTTTTGTACGGACGGCGTCGGCACGCAGTCAGGGAGAGAGGAAAGGACGAGGGGCAGATGTTCAGGCAGAACGAAGCCAGCGTGGAAAATGAATGACGAGAATGACACGTGAGGCGGATAGCAGAGTCGGTGCATGTATACAGGGTGTGAAATGAGGCAAAAAATTTCAGTTCGTGCGCGCAGACTTATGCGGAATATAGGTCGAGTTACGGCGATGCTATGTAAACACGCTGCTTGCAAACTGACCTACATTCATTACGCGGAATAAAAACAAAGATGGTGTCATGGCCTTTCATTCATTGTTTAATAAAAGAACAACACTATATATACATTAAAGACTACAAGAGAGGGCAGCAAAGAGGTGGACAGGACAGTGTTTCCTTTATCGCTGTGGATCTAAGTCATTAAAATGAAACAAATGTCAACAGAGCTGTCCTTTCTTATGGCTTGTATACATCCCGAGTTCCCTCACTGGTGGGTTAATGCTTTCTATGAACATATAAAAGGAGAAGTAAGGCTTTCACTTATTCAAAAGGATTATATTGCCTATAATTTTAGGCATCTCTTTTACTGCCAGCTGGGAATGGCTCCAGGAGGAAAATTTGATATATTTTAAATACAACATAATTATTCTCATGTGATGTAGAAATGAGTGGCTATTAGTGAAATATCTTTCCCTTTATGTGGGGAGTAAAACTCTTGAAAGGATTAAGAATTTTTTTATCTCATCTGCTAGTAAAACTTACTATAAACCCCCTGCTTTCTAAGGGCCTAGACCAGGGATGTCAAACTTTTACATTTTGGGCCACATTTCAAGTGGGCCAGACCATCTAAACTCCCCTTTCTGTCAGTGTAAATAATTTTAACTACACATTAGAGTACTGTTTTTAGTAGTAAGTTCAAATTAATGAAATAAATCTGTCAGTGGGACTCTTTGGACTTAATTTGTAAGAAATAAATGTGTAAAATTACAAACAAACAAACAAACTGTTGCCTCATTGCCTAGACTGTCCTGTAATAAACAAATTCGGGTACAAGTTAATCTTGGTTTTATCTGCCCATGCGTTTCCTGGCAAAGTCTAATCTGGTACATTGTTCCAAAACCTCTGCATTTCCATTCATGAAGGTGTGGCTTGAATTTAGACCTTGACAATGATACACTTACCTGCTTGAGAGCATTCCTGACTTGGTTTGATGGTATGAAGGTGTTTTTCTGAAGCATGGAAACAATTCTGTCATCATGCACTTAAATTTTCTTGTGTGGTCTTTCCAGCCTCCTTCACCTGTACTGACATCTCCTTGGTCCCCATATTTAAAATTAAAGCCAAAGCTGTAAAATATAAATTTCACACACTGAATCAGGTTCACACAATGTTTGCTTCATTTGTGATGAAATAAGAAGGACCAGGTTTAACCTGGCCATGAAAATAATTGTCAGTCAACTGTCCAGTTAATTGTTATGCTCAAATTTGGGACTGTGTATAAAAAGTATTGTAATTTCTAACCAGTTAATGCAACACTTCAGATAAATATCCTGAATTAAAGTCTAAAATCCAATCCCATATTGGACCCCACCGTGGTGGGGTACAGAGGGAAAACTATAAAAATTACAGTTAGTTTGTTGGACAAAGATGCAACACAGATTAATGGAGACAGCTACAATAACTCATACAGTAGTCTACAATTTATTATTGTTCATATTGTAGCTACATACCTACCACATAGTACCCACTTTGTATTACTAGTACATATACTTTACACGCTACATGACATACTGTATTGACTCATTGTTTGTGCATTACTCATTCATTAGACTGAATATTACATAATATAAACTGCTTGATTATTTGTACTGTAAACACACATGTATCCTGTCATATTACACTTTCTCTTTATCAGTGTTTTGCTCATTTGTGCAATAATCTGTGTTTAGAAGACCTACATTCACTTGAGTACTGCTTGCACTATGTAGTTTTATGAACAGCATTTTGCTAGGCTCTCGCTGCACGATGACAACAGAGTTTAATGTGATTTAATCTAATCCAATATCATTCAAAAGCAATCTGTGGGAATCAATTCTTTGGCTGCGCAGTTACATCAAATGCAATGGCGATGTAAGAGCTTTGCATAAGTAGTACTTTTGTAACTGTGCTGATTTGCTTATTCACAGAGGCAAGCCTGCTGGTGGAAACGGCAGAGAAATAAACAGACCAGAAACGCTGGATCAACAGTTTGAGGCTCCTGTTTATTCTTTATAAAACAGCACTTCTCAAGTTAAAGCCACCATGCACCTGCAAGAGATGACTGCATTAGCTGGGACTACTTGCATGCATTTGCTCGCCTTTGGAACAAGCTGTGTACAAAAAGCACCAAAGAAGAGGGGAAGTGCAATAATAACTGCTTTTTTAAAACAATTTAAACAGTTCCCTCCTCTTGTGGAAAGAGACAGAAATGGAAAGTGCAAAATGATGGTCAAAAATCACAAATATTCAATATCATATTCAATTTGGAAATTTTTGGCCCTTTACATGTGGATTTGTATCATTAAGAGTAATATGGTATCACTGTGAGAATAAAGCATCACTGTACAGCTTTTTGGGGATTTTTTTTTTTTTTGGAATAGTTATTAAAGTGCATACTGCTGCATAGTTACAGGAGCCATCTTCACGTTATCATGCACGTTATCATATTTAGAGATGTAGGGCATAGCTACAAATAATCATCGTCCTTTAATCCACTACCTGATTTACTCTGAGCTGGCCGGAGCAGCCCCTGCTTGGCCCCACAAAGACAAACTAAAATATAATAAATCCACCGAGTGGTCCAGCTTTTTATTCCTCAGTATAACTTGCTGATTTGCTAAAGATTAAATGGTTAACTTGCTGCATGCAAACAAGAATGTAAGAATCAAGTTAGCCCATATTGATTATTTTTCTTTCGCAGTAAAAGTCAGTCATATGAAATGGTAGTTTTGAGCTGAACTGGGAGCCAGTTTTACCTCACACAGCTTAACAAATATTTGAACAGTCTTTTTATAGAACAAATTAATGTGAAGCAGTTTAAACATTAATTTAACTGACAGCTATTTTACCAGTGGGGCTTTTGAATAGGGTGGGGTGTCACAATGTTATTTCTCTGCTGACAGTATAGACCATTACCCGTCACTTAAAACATCACAAGATCATTTGAGGGGAAAGCATGACTAACAATATCATATGTTACATGATAATAATCCGTCTAAGTGTTGCAGCCCTCGGAAAAATGAAACACTTGTACAAAAATTCAGGATGACAGCTGTGCTACAATTTTCTGCTCATTTCTCCTGCTTTTTTGTTCTATTCATACATTTTGCTTGCCATTAGTTTCACGCATGTCTCCAATTAAATTACTAGCATGTTTAAATGTCTTTAAAGAGACAGAATTATCCTGGTTATGCTTTGGACTGTAATATCGCTTAAACTCACTGATTTTTGACATGATTAAAATTTTACATTAGCGCTCACAACATAATGAAAGCAGTTTATTTGGTCAATCAACACTTATCAGCATTCTAATACTGTCTTTCCTTTGGAATTTTTTATGGAGTGTATATTCCATGTGGTCTATTATTTAGTACTCGGATCAACAAAGGATAGCATATTTCCATAAAAGAACAAACAAGTGAATCTCCCATTACATACAGCCTCCATGCTGTGCTGTGTAGAGCAAAAAACTGTGTTTACTCTCCCCTCAAAGCAGTGCCATTCAGCCTCCCAAGAAATGCTAGTTTATGTTAAAATATGAAGCCAATCTACAAACAAGCTGGAATGTTTTAAAGTCAATGAGTGAAAACAAAGAAAACCTCACAGAAACCTGAATAAATGTATATGCTTTAAAGCTAGCATTTTAGGAAACTATTTAAAGATACACTGCAGAAACCCTGTCTGAGCAACATACGGCCAACGAAGATGCATTAAGCTTGAAGTAGAAAATAAAAGTGTTTTTAGGTTTAAGGTAAACATTGACTTGTCTATTAAGACCAATTGTAAACTTGTAAAGCGATGGCAGTGTCAATTTAAGACATAAGATACAGTTTACGTCCCTGCCTTAGAGAATAACAGAACCGTTGACAGGCAGAATATTGTGCATAATAGAGATGCTGGTGAAGTGGCATCATCTCGCTACCCCGTGTCAGTGTTGTTGAGTTTGGGTGGCATGATAAGGCTTTGGGTGCTGACTGTGTGTT